TCTGTGCTCCTTGTTCTTTCAAGTCCTGAAAACAGTTTTTGTCCTTTCACATCGATAGTCAGAGTTCTCATGCTCCTGATTCAGCAGGATTGTGAACTCCTGGGCTTGAGATCTTTCAAGGGGAAAGGTAGTATCTCATAACCCTTTGTCCCCTTCCCTTCCCTTTCCTCTCTTTTTCTTTCCTTTCCTTTCCCTTCCCCTTCTCTTCTCTTCCCTTCAGCTTTTCATTCTTCCTTTCATTCTTCCTTTATTTCACCTTCCCTTCCCTTCATCTTTTCCTTCCTTCTTTCATTCTTCCTTTATTTTCCTTTCCGTCTACTCTTCTTTTTCCTTCCTTCCTTCCTTCCTTCCTCTTTCTTTCTTTCTTTCTTTCTTTCTTTCTTTCTTTCTTTCTTTCTTTCTTTCTTTTTCTTTCTTTCTTTCTCTCTCTCTTTTCTTTCCTTTTCTTTCTTTCCTTCTTTCCTCTTTCTTTCTTTCTTTCTTTCTTTCTTTCTTTCTTTCTCTCCCTCTCTCTCTCTCTCGTTGTTTCTTTCTTTCTTTCTCTCTCTCTTTTCTTTCTTTTTCTTTCTTTCCTTCTTTCCTTTTTCTTTCTTTCTTTCTTTCTTTCTTTCTTTCTTTCTTTCTTTTTCTTTCTTTCTTTCTTTCTTTCTCTCCCTCTCCCTCTCTCTCTCTCTCCTTCCTTTCTTTCTTTCTTTCTTTCTTTCTTTCTTTCTTTCTTTCTTTCTTTCTTTCTTTCTTTCTTCCCATACCATAAATACATTGTAGGTGAGATGAGGGGGGCTTAACACATTTTCTTTCAATCTCACCTGAGGTGAAAGGAAGGGAATTTTGCTACTCAGGCTCCAAGCCCCAGCCAAGCATTAAATAATGTTCTTTGCTTCTTATTCTTGGTGTTTTGAGGATGGGAAAAAGAAAAACAGAGGAAGAAAGTCAAGAGGATTGGGGGCTGCCTACAAACTCCTTTTGAAATACGGATGGGATCCCTCCTTTTGCCTATATGTGGCCAGTTTGGGGCTCCTGGAAAGTAGAACCGACGTCTTTTCTGCTCTTCTTTTTTTCCCATTCTTCTTTACTCTATTGGTATGCAGGGCTGGCCTTGAGTTCCCTCGACTTCCACCCACAAAACCCACTTTTCTAAAAGGCCCTGCAGTTGTGGGAGCTGTCAAACGTTTGTTTTATTGCACTCCTAGAGGAAATTGGACAGGGAAGAACTGGAGCGAGAGCGCGAGGAGGCTCAAAAGGAAGTGGAAATGCTGGAAAAAATGAAAGAAGAAGAACTTCTGATTCAACAAAAGCTGGAAGTAGAGAAACAGGTACGGCGCTCTTTTTTTTATTTAAAAAAAAAAGATGTACGTATTTGCGTGATAATTGCGGCTTAGTCTTCTGATTATATATATTTAGGCCGTGGGTCTAAAATGCCACGTTCCCCGATTGAAAACATTTCGTTCTGCAGGGTTGACTTTGCAAACATCCACTGAACTCTCTTCTTAAAGTGAATCGGTTCCCTATGTCATATCTCAAGGCAAATTAGCCTCCCAAAGCTGGTTCATAAATGTAAAATATAAATGTTGTTATTGTGTCCAGGTATGCCTAGCAGAACAATTACAGTTACCTCTTTTTACTCTGAAATCATGCTGCCTATCTGAGCCTACGTCATGTGGCTTAAAGACACACGCATTTCAAAGAACTAAACATTTTATAATAATAATAATAATAAAGTTGGAAGGACGTTGGAGGTCATCTAGTCCAACTCCCTGCTCAGGCAGGAAACCCTATATCATTTCAGACAAATGGCTGTTCAGTCTCTTCTTAAAAACTTCCAGTGTTGGAGCATTCACTGCTTCTGAAGATAGGTTGTTCCACTGGTTAATTGTTCTAACTGTCGGGAAGTTTCTCCTTAGTTCTAGGTTGCTTTTCTCCTTCATTAGTTTCCATCCATTGCTTCTTGTCCTGCCTTCTGTGCTTTGGAGAATAGTTTGACTCCCTCTTCTTTGGGGCAGCCCCTGAGATATTGGAACACTGCCATCATGCCCCCCCTCATCCTTCTCTTCATTAAACTAGACATACCCAATTCCAGCAACTATTCCTTATACGTTTTAGCCTCCAGTCCTCTAATCATCTTTGTTTCTCTTCTCTGTACTCTTTCTAGAGTCTCAACATCTTTTTTACAGTCTCAACATCTTTTTAAATCTATTATTATTTACCATTTATTGACCGTTCATTTTATTTGTTCATTCATTGATTCCCTGTTTACTCCCATATATCGGGGTTGGGAGAACTTTGTTAAATGTGAAGCTGCTGTCTAAGGTTAAGAGTTTAGAGAAGTAGAAAAGTAAAGATACAGTTAGATCATTGTTGCTTTCAGTAGATGCAGCCTGGCTATATGTAATTACATCAGCTAAACCCAACTAACCACCTTGAAAAATCCAGAGCTTGTATTATGGTTCAGAGAGCTGAAATTCATCCGGTCACTGTGTTTTAAAAATGTATCTACAGTCTATGACTTAGTGATGCTGTTTAAAACAGAGGTTCATTGTTCCTGGCCACATTAAAATACTTTCTTCCTCTAATTTTTGAAAGACCAGAAAAGCATATCAATTTTTTTTGGGGGGGGGGGTTGTTGTCAATAAAGCATCCTATTCTGAGGCAGGTTATGGAAAATTTAGGAAAGCGATTGGTGGATATCCTGGCTTTATTTACTTTGACAATCAAAATCACTAGAGAGATGGAACAATATCCATACCTTACCATGGAAAAGGCAAGTTTTAACCTATAACTAAATTAAGGGGCTTTGTTGTTGTTAGCTGCGAAGTCGTGTCCGACCCACTGCGACCCCATGGGCCACGTTCCTCCAGGCCTTCCTGTCCTCTATCATCTTCTGGAGTCCATTCAAGCTTCAGTGACTCCATCCAGCCACCTCATTCTCTGTTGTCCCCTTCTTCTCTTGCCCTCCATCTTTCCCAGCATCAGGCTCTTCTCCAGTGAGTCCTTCCTTCTCATTAGGTGGCCAAAGTACTTGAGTTTCAACTTCAGGATCTGGCCTTCTAAACAGCAGTGGGGGTTGATCTCCTCTAGGACTGACCAGTTTGATCGCCTTGCAGTCCAGGGGACTCGCAGGAGTCTTCTCCAGCACCATTGATAAAAACTTGCTTTGATCTTGTACAAATATTCTGCAGGGATGTGTCCAAGCTAGTTTTGGACATGAGTTTAGCATTACTTAGATCAGTGGTTCTCAACCTTTTTAATGCCGCGACCCCCAACCGGTCGTAAGTCGAGGACTACTCAACCAGTCGTAAGTCGAGGACTACTCACCTGGTGCAGCACCGTTTGCAGAATGGGACTTTTGGCGGGCTCAGCAGGGCAGAGACAGCCTGGACAATTCCTATTGGCTTTTGAAAGCCAATAGAATTAGACTCTATTCAAGAGAGACTATTCTATTGGCTTTCAAAAGCCAATAAAATAAAAGGGAGTAGCACAGCTAAGGAAAAGGGGAAAAAAAATGGCGGACTGCGTTGTTTGGCGACCCCCGTGAAATGGTTGTTCGACCCCAAATGGGGTCCCGACCCACAGGTTGAGAACCACTGACATAGATAAAGTGTTCTTTGAGATCATCACTCTGCGGGAACAGGACTAAACTGTGATTAAGCCTCCACAAAAAGGCAAATTCTTCTTTCAAAGGAAACAGCATAGTTCTTCTCCATCCCCAGTTCTGGCTTAGAACGAATTGTGGATCTCATAGCTGTTTGCCTGCAGGTGTCTCATTGCCCAACTAGGTATCAAAGTTTTGCGGGAATCCAGAGTTGGCACCAACACGTCTTTTCACTTTTGTTTGCCTGCCGTGCCTTCAAGTGACTGTCAGAGAAAAGACGTGGCAGATCCACATCAGATACATAAGAAAATACATTATGATGAGACTGAATTGATGGATCTCAACCAGAGACACTCCTGGCCACTTTTGGTTTTGCTAATTTTCAAAGCCTGGTCATTTTCATCTCTTGTTCTCTAGCCAGGATTTTTATTCTGCGGGAGAAGGGGGTCTCTTTCCTTACATCCTGGATAAATTTCTGGAATGGGAATAAGAGCAGAAGAAGCAACAGATCACCCCTATCTTTCTGCCCTTCCTCCATATATGTACGCATCCAGATCCAAGGACTAGCGCTCTATCAAACCAGTGCTGGTCCCATTTTGCCAGTCAGAAAGATCTAAGCAGCCCTTCTCACCCACCAGATGTCTCTTGGAAGCTGGGGGTCTGGCCTCTACTACAGTGCAAGTCAAAATAGCTTTGATGGATAACTGAGCCGCTGGAGAAAAAGGAGTGCATCTATACCAGCCCAATGTAGCCAAGAAGAGCTGGGCAGATCTTAGCCTTTGACGATGTGTCATTAGTGACACGAGACAGGACATTTATATGGCAGCATGACTGTCACGAAAAATGGGGAAAGCAGAATTTTAAAATTGGAACGGCTAACGATGACCAAGAACTGCCTCTGCGTTGGAATAGAAATAAGTGAAAGCAGTGCTGCAGCTGCCAAAAAAGCCAACGCAGTGCTAGGCTGCATTAACAGAGGGATAGAATCAAGATCACGGGAAGTCTTAATACCACTCTACAAGGCCTTGGTAAGGCCACACTTTGAATATGGCATCCAGTTTTGGTCACCACGATGTAAAAAAGATGTTGAGACTCTAGAAAGAGTGCAGAGAAGAGCAACAAAGATGATCAGGGGACTGGAGGCTAAAGCATACGAAGAATAGTTGCTGGAATTGGGTATGTCTAGTTTAATGAAGAGAAGAACTAGGGGTGACATGATATCAGTGTTCCACTATCTCAGGGGTTGCCACAAAGAAGAGGAAGTCAAGCTATTTTCCAAAGCACCTGAAGGCAGGAGAAGAAGCAACGGATGGAAACTCATCAAGGAAAGAAGCAACCTAGAACTAAGGAGAAATTTCTTGACAATTAGAACAATAAATCAGTGGAACAACCTCCCTCCAAAAGTTGTGAATACTCCAACACTGGAAGTTTTTAAGAAGAGATTGGACGATTTGTCTGAAACGGTATAGGGGGTTGGACTAGAAAACCTCCAAGGTCGCTTCCAACTCTGTTATTCTATTCTATTCTATTCTATTCTATTCTATTCTATTCTATTCTATTCTATTCTATTCTATTCTATTCTGTTCTAATTTTATTCTATTCTATTCTCTGTTCTAATTCTATTCTATTCTATTCTATTCTATTCTATTCTATTCTATTCTATTCTATTCTATTCTATTCCATTCCATTCCATTCCATTCCATTCCACTCCACTCCACTCCACTCCATTCCATTCCATTCCATTCCACTCCACTCCACTCCGTATTCTATTCTATTCTATTCTATTCTATTCTATTCTATTCTATTCTATTCTATTCTATTCTATTCTATTCCATTTCATTCTATTCTATTCTCTGTTCTAATTCTATTCTATTCTATTCTATTCTATTCTGTTCTAATTCTATTCTATTCTATTCTATTCTATTCTATTCTATTCTATTCTATTCTATTCTGTTCTATTCTGTTCTATTCTGTTCTAATTCTATTCTATTCTATTCTATTCTATTCTATTCTATTCTATTCTATTCTATTCTATTCCACTCCACTCCACTCCACTCCACTCCACTCCATTCCATTCCATTCCATTCCATTCCACTCCGTATTCTATTCTATTCTATTCTATTCTATTCTATTCTATTCTATTCTATTCTATTCTATTCTATTCTATTCTATTCTATTCCATTCCATTCCATTCTATTCTCTGTTCTAATTCTATTCTATTCCATCATTATTAACATCATGAGGATGTGTCTTTCACAAATACTTAGCAAGGGATCCTCTGTGCCATGATCAGAAGGAGGAGTACCAAGTCTCTCTTCCATTACACTCAGAATTTAGTTTCGGGGCTCCCATCTCTCTTTTCATGTCTGTGTCCCCTTTCCACCATATGTCCCCCCCCCGTGGTGTGCAACAGGCATACCCCTCCTTTGAACCGAAGTGGCCCCAAGCCAGTGACTCTTTGCTGACTGAAACACTTGCATGAAATGGTTGCAGGCCCAGATGGAGCGAGAGCAGGGGGATCGGGAGAGGATGGAGCGAGACCGGGCCGAGGAGCTCCTGCAGGAGCAGAAACGACAGGCAGAGCTGGAGGTAAGAGAAGTGCGCCTCACCCATGTTTTAGCCCCCCCAAGAAAGATACTTGGAGGAACCAGATGAGTTCACCAGAGGCAGCCTCAGTGAGGAGAGAGAAAAAATGCCGACGCCTTGATGTGATTTTGTGTTCAATATGAGGCCCGTATGTTATGGCCCGCTTCCCCTTCGTTGAAAGAGAAGGATGGAGAAAGCCCGCCCCTCAGTTGATACCTCGGCCCAGTGACACCACTGCCGAGGAGAATCTTTTTTTTTTCTCCGTGCTGGTTGGATTGTATGTTCCATCGTCCCCAGCTTCTAGCGACCATCAAATGAATGTTTGTTCCAGGCGAAGATTGCCGCTGAAAAGGAGGCGGCCTCAAAGACTTTGGCTGAGCTAACTGACAAATATGGAGCTCCTCACCTCAGTCGGGTTGAAGAGATCGATGAAATGGAGCAATCTGAAGTAAGTAAAATGACTCTATCCCGGCCTGTCCCCTCTCCCCCGTCTCTCTTCTCTCCCTCCCTCTTTCTTCTCTCTCTCTCTCTTCGTCTCTCCCTCCCTCCCTCCCTCCTCTCTTTTCTCCCTCCCTCCCTCTTCTCTCTCCCTCCCTCCCTCCCTCTCTCCTCTCCCTCCCTCTTCTCTCTCTCTTCCTCTCTCTCCTCCCTTCCTATCTCTTTTCTCCCTCCCTCCTCCCCTCCCTCTCCTGTCTCTCTCCTCTCTCTCCCTCTCCCTAGCTCCTCTTTTCTCCCTCCCTCCCTCACTCCTTCCCTCTCTTCTCTCTCTTCGTCCCTCCCTCCCTCCCTATCTCCTCTCTTTTCTCCCTCCCTCTTCTCTCTCCTCTCCCTCCCTCTTCTCTCTCTTCCTCTCTCTCTTCCTCCCTCCCTCTCCTCTCTTTTCTCCCTCCCTCTTCTCTCTCTCTCCCTCCCTCCCTCTCTCCTCTCCCTCCCTCCCTCCCTCCCTCCCTCCCTATCTCTTTTCTCCCTCCCTCCTTCCCTCCCTCTGTCCTGTCTCTCTCCTCTCTCTCCCTCTCCCTATCTCCTCTTTTCTCCCTCCCTCCTCTTCTCTCTCTCCCTCTCTCCCTCCCTCTCTTCTCCCTCCTTCTTTCTCTTCCTCTCTCCCCCTCCCTATCTACTCTTTTTTCTCCCTCTCTCCTTCCCTCCCTCTCTCCTGTCTCTGTCCTCTCTCCTCTCTCCCTCTCCCTATCTCCTCTTTTCTCCCTCCCTCCCTCCCTCCTTCCCTCTCTCTTCTCTCTCTCTGTCTCTCTCTGTCTCTCCCCCTCTCCTCTCCCTCCCTTTCTTCTCTCTCTCCCTCTCTCTCTCTCCCTCTTTCTTCTCTCTCCCTGCCTTTCTTTCTTCTTTCCCTCCCTCCCTCTCTCTTCTCTCTCTTCCTCTCTTTCCCCCTCCCTCCCTCCCTTCCTCCCTCCCTATCTCTCTTTTTTCATTGGGTTGGCATCAAAACACTTCAGTGAAATAAATAAACAATCAGGTGGCTTTGCTGGGTTTTACAAATTCCACTAGTCCTACAAACTTGCTTCAGTCTTTCTCCCCTTTCTCTCTCTCTCTCTCCCTCTCCCCCCCCCTATTTTTTTAGCATGCCTTGACTACTGTACCCGACTCGGAGGAAGAACAATAAATCTGTTCCTGTAGATTCCAGAAAATGTCACGATTTTCCGGCAAACACCAGATGAAACACATCAAGGAGACTTAGAATAAGTTAATACAGTTAAGCGAATTGAAATTTAAAAAAAAAACACATTAAAATTTAGCCTAACACGGTTCAGGTTTTATTTTTCCTTATTGGAAGATATAAGGATATCATAGTGAGAATATGATAAAGTCTTCTTAGAGTCGATCTCAAATCTAAGCAGAGCTTCTGAGACTCGTTTTCAACTTTAAGAGGTGAGTTAATGTGTTCATGTAATTGTGGTGTCCCCTGGTGCTCTCTGAGCTGAGTTATTTTCCTGCAGATGTTTCATTACCCAACTAGGTAACACCATCAGCGTTAGAAGGGAGTGGGTTTGCGGAGTGGAGGAGGAGGAGGAGGAGGGTTGTGGGGTCCCTGGTGCTCTCTGCACTGGATTGTTTTCTTGCAGACGTTTCATTACCCAACTAGGTGACACCATCAGCGCTAGAAGGGATTGGGGTTTGCAGAGTGGAGGAGAAAATGAAGGAGCAGGTTGAGGAGAAGGAGAAGGAGGAGGAGGAGGGGGGAGGAGGACGAGGAAGAGGGATTGTGGTGTCCCTGGTGCTGTCTGAGCTGGGTTGTTTTCTTGCAGACGTTTCATTACCCAAATGGGTAACATCATCAGTGCTGGACTTGATCTCCCACACACAGAAAAGCAGATCACATGCTGTCCAAAGAACTGGTTCTTCTGTCAAAATGGTCCTACCCTTGGAAAGTTTCTCCCTCTCCCCTCTCATTTATTCCAGACCCACCTTGGAGTAACCACAAAGTCCCACCTTAAGGACTCCTTATGCCTAAGCAATGGGGTGGGGGAAGAACTCTTCAAACCAAGACGACAAAATTAGAGCTGCCCTAGCAGATAATTGGAGAAAAGCCAACCAGGATGAATTTGCCAAAACCTCTGTTTTGGCACCCCTACCTGCCCTGCACACCTGGATGGGGCGTTTTGGAGAAGGACCAAACATTATCAGGTTACAATTAGGAGACCTTCTTGGGCACTTGTATCAACATGCAAATGTATAGATCGGTTATCCCTCCTTCCCCTCCAACTTACTCCACCACTGATCTTGCTAAACCTGAGGTGTTCTGCAGGGGACCACTGCAAAGAATGCATTGGTAGTCATGTGTCTCTCACAGCTGTTGCCATCTGACCAGGATGAAAGCTGATCTGGAGCCCAGAATAAGCCTTGAATTCAATGAAGGTGTTTAAGCAACCCCACTGACCTCAAGAACAGGAATCCATGCGGTGCTATAAATAAAGTGGAGGCAGTAGAGGCAGCTACCAATACTTACCAATACCCTCCTTCCTTTCCTTCTTTCCTCCCTCCCTCCCTCTTTCCTTCCTTCCTTCCTTCCTTCCTTCCTTCCTTCCTCCTTCCTTCCTTCCTCTCTTTCTTTCTTTCTCTCTCTCTCCCTTCCTTCCTTCCTTTCTTTTTATTTATTTCTTTCTTTCTTCCTTCCTCCTTTCTTTCTTTTCTTTCTTTCTTCTTTCTTTCTTCCTTCCTTCCTTCCTTCCTCCCTTTCTTCTTTCTTTCTTTCTTTCTTTCTTTTTCTTTCTTTCTCTTTCTTTCATGCTTTCTCTCTTTCCCTTCCTTCTTTCCTTCCTTCCTTCCTCTTTCTTTCTTTCTTTCCCTTTCTTTTTTTTCTTTCTTTCTTTTCCTCCCTCCCTCCCTCCCTCCCTTTCTTCCTTCCTTCCTTCCTTCCTTCCTTCCTTTTTATTTCTTTCTTCCTTCCTTCCTCCCTTCCTCCCTCCCTCTCTTTCCTTTCTTTCTTTCTTCTTTCTTTCTTTCTTTCTTTCTTTCTTTCTTTCTTTCTTTCTTTCTTTCTTTCTTTTTTCTCCTTCCTTCCTTCCTTCCTTCCTTCCTTCCTTCCTTCCTTCCTTCCTTCCTTCCTTCCTTCCTTCCTTCCTTCCTTCTTTCCCTTTCCTCCCTCCCTCCCTCCCTCCCTCCAGTGGTGGGATTCAAATAGGTGAACAACCAGTTCTCTGTGTGGATGCCACTTCCGGAAGTCCATTCTGGACCTGGGCAACACAAAATGAGCTGCCAAAAGTGGTGCGAACCGGCTGAATCCCACCACTGTCTACACCCGTACACACGATGGTTTGCTCCTTGGATCTGACGGTTGAGATTTTGTGTCGCTTAGTTCTGGATCTTTGGCTGAGGTAAGAGGGCTGCACTTTGCTCATTGATGGTTATGAAGGCTCTCCAACTGGCTGAGCGCCACCAAGATGGGTGGGAGTCTCTCTGCGAGGGGACGTGGTCAACCAATGGCAAGGATGATCAGCCTGGGTGAGCGTGCCCGATTGTCCCCACTGACTCCAGGTTCATCTGGAGGACAACGATGTTTTTGTCCTTGAAGGGGAAAGGGAAACTTTGATAAACAATGTCCTTTGGCCTACAGGAAGCATTTAACTCTTTCCACTATTTTCCCACTTGGGACGATTGGATTAGTGCAACCAGTTTTTGTTTCACAGAGTGGTGAAAAGTAGCATTAGGCCTTCTTGGAGAAACTCTGAATTTGTCTCTCTTAGAAGGGCAGCAAAGCAACAGAATGACAGAGTTGGAAGGGACCTTGGAGGTCTTCTAGTCCATCCCCCTGCTCAGGCAGGAAACCCTATACAACTTCAGATAAAGTGTAATCTAATCTCTTCTTAAAAACTTCCAGTGTAGGAGTGTTCACAAATTCTAGAGGCAGGTTGTTCCACTGGTTAATTGTTCTCACTATTAGGAACTTTCTCCTTAGTTCCAGATTGCTTCTCTCTTTGGTTAGTTTCCATCCATTGCTTCTTGTCCTGCCTTCAGCTGCTTTGGAGAAGAGCTTGACTCCCTCTTCTCTTTGACAGTCCTTCAAATATTGGAACACTGCTATCATGTCACGCCTTATCCTTCTTTTCACTGATTGGACGATTTGTTTGAAATGGTATAAGGGGTTGGACTAGAAGACCTCCAAGGTCCCTTCCAACTCTGTTATTCTATTCTATTCTATTCTATTCTATTCTATTCTATTCTATTCTATTCTATTCTATTCTATTCTATTCTATTCTATTCTATTCCATTCCATTTCCTCCTCCTCCTCCTCCTTCTTTCTATTATTATTATTATTATTATTATTATTATTATTATTACTACTATTGATCATCACACAGTCAGCCAGATGTTCAGACTGGATTTGGCATTTTTGTCTACCTATCGAGTCCTTCCCAAGGACCTGGGATAGGCAAATGTGGATGTTTGATGGTATCACAGATCTCGTTGCAGGATGGAAGCAGTTCCTAGTAAGGCTGCCTTTTGCAATTGACTAATGGCGAATTTGTCAATGCCGATGATGGTGTTCAAGTGGTGCTCCAGTTGTTTTGGGATTGCACCCAAGGCACCTATTACTATTGGTACTATTATTATTATTATGATGATGATGATGATGATGATGATGATGACTACAATCATTCATTTTGTGACCAAAGTTACAATAGTATTGAAAAGAGGGATATATGACCGTTTTTCCACACTTACGACCATTGCAGCATCCCCTTGGTCATGTGACCAAAATTCTGCATCTATATATAATAGGACCTTTAATACAGTAAGCAGAGCTTTATCTTATGGTTTTGATGTTCTTCCTCTGCTCCCTCTGATCTTCCTCGGATTCTGATAGGATTTTGTTTTGCAATGCTGGGAATTTAAGCACGGTTCAGATACTGGACAGAGGGTTGAAATCCCTCCGGGAGTGGCAACGAGATTCTTCTTCTACTTACTTCTACATGGCTGGGTCAGAAAGTGCCTAGTAATTTGGGGGATTAGTCGAGCATTCAGAGATAATTCAAAGCGTCAGTGAGTGCATGGGGGAAAAAATGAAAAAGTTTAACAGCCAAGGCTGAAAACCCTTGACAAAGTCAAAACCGATACACAAATATTCACTGCCCCCTTTGGGACAGAAATAACTCAATTTTGCAAATATTTCAGCAAACATAAATGGGGTGGAAGGGGGGCTATCAGCTCTCCAAGCAAGGAGTGATCCAGAATAGCCCACTTGCCACCCACGGATCACCTACACTTTATTTTGCAGAAAGCAAAAGCAGAGCTGGAAACTCTGACCGAACAGCCCGCACACAGACACGTGGCAGAGATGAGAGGAATGCAGTTTGGGATAGGCAAATATGGAGCTGAAGCAATTAGAGGGTGTCAACTGGTTAAAAGAAAAAAGAAAAGAAAAGAAAAGAAAAAAAGGTGGATTGCAGCCAATAAATGGAAATACCGCAGGCGTCATCAGAAGAAGATGCAAATAGAATTAGCGTGAGCTTATTTGAACACACTAGCTCTAAGAATTACTTGGATTTAAGCTGGAAAATTTTTAGGAAAAAAATAAATACATAAATAAATGTGAAGCCAAGCCCAGGAGAGGAAGTCCTTGAGTTACAACTACAACCCAGCCCAAATTTTGATCACGTGACCGTGGGGAGGCTGCAACGGCCATAAGTGTGGAAAAACGATCCCTAAATGAATGTTTGTTGGTCAAAGACTACGTTCATGTGCTCAAGACGGTAGAGATTGCATACTCTTGTTTTTACCTATTGGCCTTCCCTCCAGAGTGATTCCATGTAGGAAGTTTTTGTTCTGGACCCCGACAACACAGTCATCTGCCAAAATCTCTTTTTCAACAGGGAGCTAGACTTTTTGACCTTGAAGATGTATGTCTGTATCTATGTCCATGTCTATGTTGTCTACGTCTACGTTGTCTATGTCTATGTATACAGTATGTATATGTCTATATGTCTATGTTTATGTCTATGTTGTCTATGTCTATGTATACAGTATGCACTTCCAATTTGATGCGGGAGAAAACCCGAATAACCAAAGACCTACATACAAACACCCGCGAAAACCTCAGAAAACATATATATATATACACAGTGTATATATATATATATATATATATATATATATATATATATATATATATATATATATATATTGTATATATATACAATATGTGTATGTGTATATGTATATATATACAGTATGTAGATGTAGATAGTAGTATGGCTAAAATTGTGGAAACCTTTTGGGAAAAGTGTACAGTAGAAATGCCACCTTTGGTTACGTTTCCACCCATTTTTCTTCCAATTTCTTTATAACTGTAGCCTTGTTCACTTAATAATACTATTTTACATCGCTTTCTGTGTGACCAGTCAACTCTTTGCACCATGAATTTAATTTTATCACGTTTTACAAGCTCACTAAATGAAAGAACACCAAAAAACCCAACCAACTTGATAGCTATCACATAGCACACTGACAAATGTCCTCCTCTCAGCTTCAATACATGACATCCATCACTGGATCCTACTGTGATCTGATTGGCTCATTGCCAAAACAAGATGACATCCGATTGGCTGTCTAAACACTCATGCTCATTGGCTACAATCAGATGAAGGAAAGCTACCTGAGATCAACCTAAGCAAGTTGTGCTTCCTTTTTTCTAGTTATTTGGCTATAACCTTTCATAGAATACAGTACAGATAATTGAACAAACTTTGTTGCATTATATTCTCGATTAAATTATCTTACCATTGATATATAATTTTATGGTACTGCTCTCCAAAAAAGTGGTGTTCTTAGCCATCAAACCTCAAAAATATACTTTTCCCAAAAGTTTTCCACATTTTTGGCTGCTACTGTGTATGTATGTGTATATGTATATGTATACACTATGTAGATGTAGATGTATGACATGCCTGTTATTTAATCCCAAGTTTTAACATGTTGAGAGCAGACAGTGTAATAAAGAATTGGGCTCCAGTTCGATCTTAATTTAGAGATAAATTCTTTCCAACTGAGTCTACGGAATAATTAGGGAGGGACTATAAATGGTGACCAAGGCAATGGGAAAAAAAAAACAGGACCTAGAAATGCTGCAGAAATAAAAATTGTCATGTATATAAAGGTGCTTTTTCAAAAGGCAGCTGGACTTTCTATGTTTTGTTTTGTTTTTTCTTGAAGACATTTCGCTTCTCCTCCAAGAAGCAAAAAACATCTTCAAGAAAAAAAAAACACACACCAGAAAGTCCATCTTTAATATTTATATGTTACTTATATGGAAGGGTGTAGAGCAGTGGTTCTCCACCTGTGGGTCGGGACCCCATTTGGGGTCGAACGACCATTTCACGGGGGTCGCCAAACAACGCAGTCCACCATTTTTTTCCCCCTTTTCCTTAGCTGTGCTACTTCCTTTTATTCTATTGGCTTTTGAAAGCCAATAGAATAGACTCTCTTGAATAGAGTCTAATTCTATTGGCTTTCAAAAGCCAATAGGAATTGTCCAGGCTGTCTCTGCACTGCTGAGCCCGCCAAAAGTCCCATTCTGCAAACGGTGCTGCACCAGTTGAGTAGTCCTCGACTTACGACCGGTTGAGTAGTCCTCGACTTATGACCGGTTGGGGGTCGCGGCATTAAAAAGGTTGAGAACCACTGGTGTAGAGGTCTATGCATATCTTGTATAGAGGATGGTTAAATGTGTGTTGTGTAGGCGTACACTTTGAGAGCAAGCAACTACATTTCATTTTTAATGTGTGCCGTGGTGCCCACAGTAAAAAATGACAGTAAAGGTTCTCTTCCTCCTCCTCCTCCTCCTCCTCCTCCTCCTCCTCCTCCTCCTCCATCTGTCTTTTGGGGAAAAAAAGCATTTTTGGGACAACCATGATGTGGATGACTGAGAATCTTCTCCTTCCTCTCCAGCCAAAGTTAAGTAAAATGCAACAGTGGTTTGACATCTGCTTGGATCATAAATGTCCACCTGGAATGCAGAAGCTTTCACGGATGGAGGAAGGAACAGCCGGGGTGAAAAGTGAAACGGGCTTTGCAGGGGAACACCAAAATAAATCTGATGTCAAACAATTTCTGGACTGGAAGCCTCGCCTCCCAGGAATGTTGGGGAGGAGCTGTCCAACCGCTTCTTTCCATTTCCCCCCACCTCCCAAGCAGGGTTTTCCCCACCAGTAATTGGCTGGATTGGAACACACCTCTTTGGTTCATGATTATCTCCCTTCCACGTTGTTTTTGCCACTGGGAGCAAAGAGAGAGAGAGAGAGAGAGAGAGACAGAGACAGAGACAGAGGCAGACACACACACACACAAAGAGAGAGAGAGAGAGAGAGAGAGAGAGAGAGAGAGAGAGAGAGAGAGAGAGAGAGAGAGAGAGAGAGAGAGAATGAGGAGCCAAAGAGGAAGAAAGGGAGTGGGTGGATTTGTTTATTCAGTTGAGAACTGCAAACTTACATGTTTTGGGGTGACCGTTTTTTTTGCAGAGGGATCATTGACTAAACACGTGGCCGCCCTTGGGACATCTGCAGGCCACTTGATTGGAGATACTGGATTCGCACTGAGGACATTCCAGGTTGCTTAGATCAGCAGGAGAGCAATTCTGGAAGGGGAAAAAAAAAAGGTGCCTGCTTGCCAAAGCTTGCCTACTCAATTCACAAGACAGACCCTTCTCTATGGGGTCTCCACTCTGGGAAATAATAATAATAAAGTTGGAAGGGACCTTGGGGGTCATCTAGTCCAACCCCCTGCTCAGGCAGGAATCCCTACACCATTTCAGATAAATGGCTGTCCAGTCTCTTCTTAAAAACTTCCAGTGTTGGAGCATTCACCGCTTCTGGAGGCAGGTTGTTCCACTGATTAATTGTTCTAACTGTCAAGAAGTTTATCCTTAGTTCTAGGTTGCTTCTCTCCTTGGTTAGTTTCCATCCGTTGCTTCTTCTCCTGCCCTCAGGTGCTTTGGAGAATAGCTTGACTCCCTCTCCTTTGGGGCAGCCCCTGAGATATTGGAACGCTGCTATCATGTCCTCCCCTCGTACTTCTCTTCATTAAACTAGACATACCCAATTCCAGTAACCATTCCTTATATATTTTAGCCTGCAGACTTCTAATCCTCTTTGTTGCTCTTCTCTGTACTCTTTCTAGAGTCTCAGCGTCTTTTTTACATCGTGGCGACCAAAACTGGATGCCGGATTCCAAGTGTGGCCTTCCCAAGGCCTTGTAAAGTGGTATTAATACTTCATGTGATCTTGATTCTGTGCCTCTGTTAATGCAGCCTAGGACTGTATTGGCTTGTTTGGTAGCTGCAGCACATGGCTGGCTCCTATTTAAGTGATTGTCCACCAGGATTCCCAAGATCCCCCTCACAGATACTGGCATCAAGTCAAGTTTCACCCAGTTTGTACCTATAAAGGCCATAGCACTCTTTTTCTGTTGAGTATTTTATTCCTCTGTTCCTACAATGCAAGAACATCTGTCAGTGAAAATCAGTCCTCAGCCCAACACTGAAAGATATCCTGGAAGGCTTTCAATGTGAATTAAGTAACATGCTGAATGAACACAAAACTTTTACAGGTTTTTCCAGCTTTGCTTCTTTTTGGAAAGGGAGGCACATTCCAGACCGATCTGGACCTTGGGAGTAAAAGCCGCGATCAGCGCCTAAATTAAATTAAATTTCCTCAATGCAAATAGGCACCTTAGCACTTAGAAAGGTTAAGAGTTTCCATTTGATGGAATTTCAGTTCCAGTCCCAAAGCCCCCTTCCCCTCCCCCAAAGTTATAAATATATTCTAAACCTGGCATCCATTAAAAACCGTTCTTCCTTGCCATCATCGTCCCGTAGGTCAGTGGTTCTTAACCTTTTTGAACGAATCGCCCCCTTGAGCCAATGAGGAAGTTGTCATCGCCTCCCTCCCCCAACATAACCTCTCAATCACAACATGGGAAATAATTCTTCAATTTATGCAACCCCCCTTTTTTTTGTTTTCTTTAAAATTGTCATCAGGACATATCGATGCAAATAATTTATTTCCAGTCTTTTTCCCATATCTCAACTGTGTGAAAAAGTTTGGTGCCACCCGTCACTTTATTCCCAAACTTCGTGATACATGTATTTTATTATTATCTTATTTATTCAAGACACTTCAACGTAATGACCACTGAAAATAAAATTCATTTGCAAGAAAGTGAAATGCCCAAAAGAAAAACAGTAACATTTAATGATTGAATTACAAGTGAAATTTAAGACGCAAAAAGAAATATAAAAAGGGTAGAGGCTGCTGCGCAACGCGCATGAAGATAAGTGATGCGCATTCATATATGTACGGCGTTCTGTACTGAAGCTAGCTGGAGGAATATTTGAAAACACAATTCAATCCACTAATAGCGAGCGATCTGATGTTTTTGTACGACAGATATACAGCGATTCACTGTATGAAAAAGTCTTAAGAGTGTCCCCAAAACTTCTCGCTCCATTGCCCCCATATCACCCCCTTTTCGTTCCTTCACCCCCATGTTGCCCCTTTTCATTCCATCGCCCCCTTGAAAAATGAAATTGCCCCCTGGGGGGCAATATCGCCCAGGTTAAAAACCACTGCCTTAGGTAAGCTACAGTGGCAATAAAAAGTCAGACTAAAACTTATATGTCAAGAGAAGAAAATATTTGTAGCTGAGGATTGAACTGTGGGGTCTTTGATGCTCTCTGAGCCTGTTTGTTTCCTTGCGGACATTTCATTACCCAACTAGGTAACCTCATCAGTGCTAGAAGGGAGTGAGGGAGAAGGAGGAGGAGGAGGAGGAGAGAAGAAGAAGAAGAAGAAGAAGAAGAAGAAGAAGAAGAAGAAGAAGAAGAAGAAGAAGAAGAAGAAGAGGAGGAGGAGGAGGAGGAGGAGAAAAAGAAGAAAGAAGAAGAAGAAGGAGAAGAAGAAGAAGAAGAAGAAGAAGAAGAAGAAGAAGAAGAAGAAGAAGAAGAAGAAAGAAGAAGAAGAGGAGGAGAAAAAGAAGAAAGAAGAAAGAAGAAGAAGAAGAAGAAGAAGAAGAAGAAGAAGAAGAAGAAGAAGAAGAAGAAGAAGAAGAAGAAGAAGAAGAAGAAGAAGAAGAAGACAAAGACAACTGTGGGGTCCTTGGTGCTCTCTGAGCTTGGTTGCTTCCTTGCAGACATTTCATGGCCCAGCTAGGTAACGTCATCAGTGCCCGGAAGGAGTGGAGTTGTATAAATCTTTAATAAAACTTTCTGGTTCATCTGAATTCTCTTTGCCTTGCATTTCCCAATTCCCTCAGATTTATGAATGCATTCGTTTGCAGCTCGGGTTTTCCTCCCTTTGCGCTTGTGGAAAAGGAGTTTTCCATTCGTGGGGCGGATGTTTTTTTTTTTTTTTTTTTTGGGGGGGGGAAACTACTCCAGGCAAGATTCGAATCCCCTCGCGGGGCTCCCATTCGAAACTCTGTCAAAGAGACGCTCGGAGAGAAAACAGGACTCTCTTAACTCCGGAAGCATCACGTCCGCGTCCCCCCCAAATCCGGACATCCTACACAACCCCCCCGCCCCCCCAGATCCTTGAACTTCGCCTCGGGGCCGCCCGTGACCTTGCTGCTCCGTTTCCCCCCCCCCCAGTTGCATCAGCCGGGCGCTTCAAGCGACAAGAATTGCCGTGCCAAAACCACGCGCTCCACTGAATCGTACCCAAGCCCAACACCAACCCGCGGGCCGGTGGGTGGCGAGAGAGAGCGGGGACTCCTTCTTCTCTTTTGCGCCCTCCTCCAAGCAGGGGAGGGGAGGACGCAGGCGGCAGGAACCGGCCCGCATCCTTTCATCCTTTGCAAAAAAATAAAATACAAATAAAAAAAAAAAAAACAACCCACCCGGGGATGGAGACAGGGGCGCAATGTTGGGAGCCAGCAGAGCGCGCGGCTGCTGCTTTTTTTTGGATTCTGATTCTTATGTTGTCCTCCTCTTCCCCACGCGTGGCCGAGCTTCTCCCTTTCTCCCCCCCCCCGCCGGAGAATGGGCTCTTCCGTGCTCCTCACATGATGAGCGAGGCACTTTCGCTTTTCCATATATAGAGGCCAGGCGGTGTGACAGCTCCCGCGAGGGCGGAGAGCAAGAGGAAGGTGGATAGGACGGCGCGCTTTTACGCAGCCAGCCAGCTGGAACCTGGAAAAGCTCCGCGCGCCTGGCCGGGATTCAGCGCCGCTCGCCCGTCCTGCCTTGAGAGGTCGTCCACTTCTTTCCTTCTTTCCTCCGAGACCCAGCCGGCCCCCCACCCAACCCCGTTCCTGCCCAAAAGAAACCCCCCACCCCCCCCCCCCCAGAATCCATCATGAATGGGACTTTAGATTGCCTCCAGGACCATACGCTGAACGAAGAGCAAGGGGCGTTCATGTTCACTTCGGAATCCGTCGGGGAAGGCCATCCAGGTAAGGCTTTGCTGGAAGTCCTACGCTCCAGGTGGATGGGGGGGGGGGATGTCAGAGGTCTCCTTCCCCACAAGTAGATCTCCAGATTTTTTTTTTTTTTTAAGAAGAAGGTTTTCAACAACCCTGGAGAGTTTTTAAGGAGAGATGAGATCGGGTCTCCTTCTTGGATTAGAAGACCTCCAAGATGCCTTCCAACTCTTGTTAGTCTACTGTCTTGACCACGTTTGTGATCCTCTCTCCGGTCAGCCATAGTCCTGATTTCTTCGTCTTTGGCACATGGGCCTTGAAACCTGGGTAGTAGTACAGGGTGCCTTCAGAGCAGGTGGACATGAGCCAAGAACAGTTACACCTTGTTTACCTGAGAGGGCAGGTTTATCCGGGCGGGCAAGACTCACAGAAAACAGCAGTTCAGGGTAGAGAATGGCACTCAGGTCTCCAGTCCTGCTCATTCCTTGGGTTGATTTCAATTGACACTGATTCTCGTCTAGAGGTGTAGAACGTCGTCGCTCCCAAGACTTCTGCTGAAACCAATAAGGGTGGGATCTGTTTATGGTAAACCCTAGAGCCATATTAAGGGGTTGGGGGGGGGGTGGAAAGGTGAAGGAAATCTATTTTCTCATATCTTTGGGAGGAGGCTGTGGAGAAGAACAACCTATTCTTTCTGCTTCACCGTATCTGGAGGGTTGGGGGTGTTTTGTTTTTGTTTTTGCTCCTCATGTTTTATTGTTAAGGATCCATGTTGCTAAAATGTCCATGTTGCTAAAAAAAAAAAAAAAAAAGACAGGAAGGAAAGGGAAGGAGACAGCCTTGCATCTTCTCCTGAACGTGGCCTCCTGGATTTCTTCCTTGTAAAACTCGGTCACGAAACAGCCATTGCCCAAAGCAGCTGCGCTACATATTACTCCCAGTTCCCCCCTGTCCTTTTAATCACCGTGAGTAGCGAGATAGCAAATAAAGAGGACCGCTGGCTCATCTCATATTTTTCTCATAAATTGTAAAAGCCAGCTAGATTGTTTGCTTACCACTACCGTAGTAGTAGTACTACTACAGGGTTCCTTCTTGAGCAGGCCTGCAAAAGGCAGCTTGCCAAACTTTGTGTACTGATACTGCAGCCCAGTTTATTTTACTCTGCTAAGCATGGAGAGACAAAGTACATGCTTCCAGTGGATGGAAATAACTCCGTGTTCTTCATGCAGAAGGCCAGGCTATATCAGAGCTACGTTGTACTTAGATTTCATGTTTAGGATTGTGAGCTTGTGAGATAATTTAGGGATTTCCTTTTGGGTGTATGAATAGCTGCTATTCTTTTTTGTTAATGTCATCTAACATTTTTGGGGAGGGGGTTATCATTCTGTGGCCCTTTACAGGGTGGGAGAAGTAGAACCTGGCTGATAGTTTTTCCCCACCAGGAGCTGATTTGGACATTGAAGCTCTGACAGTTTTTCATTTCTGATATTTTCTTGGAGCAAAGAATGGCTAGGTTGGATCTGAGCAGGTTCGGTTGTCCTCTCACCCAGTGAACAGCAACATAGAATAGAATAGAATAGAATATGGAATGAAATAGAATAGAATATAGAATATAGAATATAGAATATAGAATAGAATAGAATAGAATAGAATAGAATAGAATAGAATAGAATAATGATAATAGACTAGACTAGAATAATGAGAATAGACTAGACTACACTAGAATATAGAATATAGAATAGAATAATGATAATAGAATAATGATAATAGCATAGACTAGACTAGACTAGAATAATGATAATAGACTAGACTAGACTAGAATATAGAATAGAATAGAATAACGATAATAGAATAATGATAATAGCATAGAATAGAATAAAATGATAATAGACTAGAATAGAATAATGATAATAGACTAGACTAGACTATAGAATAGAATAATGATAATAGAATAGAATAGAATAGAATAGAATAATGATAACAGACTAGACTAGACTAGAATAATGATAATAGAATAGAATAGAATAATGATAATAGATTAGACTAGGCTATAGAATAGAATAGAATAGAATAGAATAGAATAGAATAGAATAGAATAGAATGGAATAGAATGGAATAATGATAATAGAATAGAATAATGATAATAGACTAGACTAGATTAGAATAATGATAATAGAATAGAATAATGATAATATAGACCAGAATAGACTAGAATAATGAGAATAGAATAGAATAGAATAGAATAGAATAGAATGGAATGGAATGGAATGGAATGGAATGGACTGGACTGGACTGGACTGGACTGGACTGGAATAGAATAGAATAGAATAGAATAGAATAGAATAGAATAGAATAGAATAGAATAGAATTCTTTATTGGCCAAGTGTGATTGGGCACACAAGGAATTTGTCTCCGATGCATAACCTCACAGTGTACACACATGCAACAACAAAGTGATAGGTCATAGATCAGGGGTATCAAACTCGCAACGTGCTGTGCCGTGACATCTCACAACTTTTTCACCATTGCCGGCAACGGAGTGGGCACGATTTCACTATCATCGTTCATAAATCATAGTCATTTGATTTAAGTTTTAACAGAAGAAAAAAAATCTTCTGGTGTAACTCACCTCCTGGCACAAAACACAGGTCGTCCCCGTCTTATGGCCACGGCTGAGCCCAAAATTGACGTCGCTAAGCAGGACCCTCGTTCAGCGGGTTTTGTCCCATTTTACGACCTCGCTTGCCCAAACCGTTAAGCGAAATTGCTGCTGTTGTTCAAAGTTAGTGACAGGGAAAGTTAAGGGAATCCGACTTTTCCTCCCCTTTGCCTTTGCTTGCCAGAAGATCACAAAAGAGGATCACGTGACTCCTGGGACACTGTGCAACCATCATAAGTACGAGTCAGTTGCCAAGCATTTGAATTTTGATCATGTGACCACGGGGATGCTGCGACGGTCGTAAGTGTGGGGAAACGCTTGTAAGTCGCTTTTTTTCAGCGCCGTCATAACTTTGAACAGTCACTAAATGAACTGTTGTAAGTCAAGGACTGCCTTTATCTTCCTGCTGGGTCAGAAGCAGCTGAGATGATGACCTGAATTATCATTGAGGAGATGCTTCGAGTTTCAGTTTTGGACCTAAGAGTTTTCGGGGATTGATCCATTTCTCAGAAAGGAAATAGACTGAAAATTATTGGCTAAAAATCCCTGGGATGTCTTCTGCCAGCCAAATTTAACTTTTTTTTTTGCTTTCTTTCCCTACACAAATGGGACCCTTTGAAACAGCCCAAGAGGGGAAACAAACACAATTTATAGTAGTGGTCAAAATTGTGGAGACTTTTTGAGGAAAGCGTACAGTAGAAATGCCACCTTTGGTTAAGTTTCCACCATTTTTTTTTCTTCCAATTTCTTTATAACTGTAGCCTTGTTCACTTAATAATACTATTTTACATCGCTTTCTGGACGACCAATCAACCCTTTGCACCATGACTTTAATTTTATTACATTTTACAAGCTCACTAAATGAAAGAACGCAAAAGAACCCAACCAACTTGATAGCAATCACATAACACACTGACAAAGGTCCTCCTCTCAGCTCCAATACATGAACATCAATAACTGAATCCTACTGTGATCTGATTGGCTCATGGCCAAAACAAGATGACACCTGATTGGCTCTCTAAACACTCACACTCATTGGCTACCATCAGATGAAGGAAAGCTACCTGAGATCAACCTAAGCAAATTGTGCTTCCTTTTTCTGGTTATTTGGCTATAACATTTCATAGAATACAGTACAGATAATTGAACACACTTTGTTGCATTACGTTCTTGATTAAATTATCTTTCCATTGATATATAATTTTATGGTACTCCTCCCCCCAAAACTGGTGTTATTAACCACCAAACCTCAAAAATACACTTTTCCCAAAAGGTTTCCACGATTTTGGCCACTACTGTATATCTTCTGAGCCTTGCTGATTCTCAACGCTGATTTTCTTTGCAGCTTGGCTGCTTCTCATATCCGGCCCTTTCATTAAAAGAATTTAATGAGTGTATCTATGGAAATTGGGTGGGTATTGATCTTTGGATATGGACATGTCTTGCTCTTGATTTCAAACTGTAGTTTTTGACATCTGTCTATTGAGCTTGGTAAAACGGGGCCTTTTCGTTCTCATCCTCCATTGTTCTGCTTTGCTGCATTTGTGACGTGAGGTTAGCTTCCGTCAGCATCCATGCTATCTGTTTCATGGTACATTCAAGCCACAACAGCCTCTTATTTGTATAACTCATCCCAGGATTAATGTAAAGTTATTTATTTCTAGTTTTCAGAACTGTCTCTCGGGTTATTTGAAGGCAAAGTCTGTTTCGGAATGAAAGCAAGGAGCAAAACTCATTGTAATGCACAAACCTCTTTAAGCAAGCAGCACAAGAGAGAGAAATTGTAGCGCATAATGTGCTGACTTAAAGAAGGGAATTTAAACAACAACAATAATAACAAAAACGGGGAAAGCTGGTCAATTCTACTGTATAACAGTGGGACTTATTTCAAACAAACCTTGCCACAGGCGCCTTGAACAGACAGATTTTAATGATGGA